CCTCCTTGTACCAATGTATACGTGTTAAAATAAATAAAGAAATAAGAAATGAAATAAAAGCTTCACAATCAAAGTCATCCAGTTGAGATAATACCATTCCATTATAACCAACATTCAGAGCTATAAATTTCATTCATCATCTTAGAAACTATTCTTAATTTAACATCAAGTAAATAGTGAAATTACACAGTTTCAATGCTTCACTTGTCAAAGTAAGTTCAGCCTTTCTTTTTCATATTTGAAGGAAATAATCAAAAGTAATGTTATCCAAGATAAACTAGGATAAATGAAAAACAACCATCAGCTATCTATAGATTAGATGGACTATGGCTGGCAAGGAAATCCGGGGACATGAGCATCATCTTATCTAGGATTCATTAACTGAATGTAACGTTTCAAATGTCCAACAAATTTATCCACTGAGCTAATAAGTTTAGATATTCACTCTTAAAGATTAAATTAACTGTTTATTTATTGATTAATATCATAAACGAACCATTGAATATCTGGAAGTGGTGGACGGCCGTTTCGTCCGAGTATGAAACTTCTCAGCACGATCCCGCATGCGAGGTTCGAACCCTAGACCTTCAGTCTCGCGCGTTAACGCTTAACCTATGGACCACTGAACCGACATCTAACGGTATTAATGTCTAGCCTTAACCAATCCACGAAATTGAGTGACCATTTTCTATTGTTTGAAGTAGATACCTGTCTCTATCTGACATGAATTAGTTTCAATGGTCACGGCTTCTAACTAGAACTCCGAGAATTCCCTCACGAAGCTAGTCATTAATGAGCACATGGTAATTATTAAGTTTTCTGATTGAGATCATAAAATCGATCAATATTTTCAATGGTGGTCTAAAATCGATCGATTCATGATCTCAAAATATGTAAATATATATTTAATTATTGTTAAGTATTGGTTTTTGTCAATTTTTCATAGCTACATTTCAGGTCAAAATGTGAAATGTACTTTCTAGGATCACATGACTTATATCACTAATTTTACTCCAATTTAATCAATTTAGAATATTGATTTTTGGCTACCTCTACTAAATAATACATATATTATTGTTGCCGAATACTACCACACTAAAATACAAATGTATCCAATTAATCAGTAGATGGGGGGATAAATTACTGATTGTAAACATAAGTATGTTGTTTAGCTCAAATTACTGTAATCACAAAGATTGGGACATCCGTTCACACAAATCACAAATATATATACATGTCAACACAGGCTGTTTAATCCAACAAAAAGTAGTTTCACAAACAAAGATAGATGGTGGTTAACAATCGAATCTAGGAGGAGCGTTTCGTCCTATTTGGGACTCGTCAGCTAGTATTTTGTACCTGGAGGTACATTCTAGTATGGAACTTCTCAGCACTACGTATCCACGATCCCAAACGCGTGGTTCAAACCCTATACCTTCGGTCTCGCATGTGAACGCTTAACCTTTAGACCACTGAGCTCGATGTACCTGCAGATACAAAATACCAGCTGACAAGTACCGAATAGAACGAAACGCGTGTCCTGGATTCTGCTGCTAGCCACTGTCCATCTTTGCTTATAATGTTTGTGACTTAAGGCAATATCAAGGCAATCTGCACAGGATGCACATATACCAACAAGAGATTGATCAATTGCAGTCCTAGACAACAATTTAAAGATACAATCAAGCAATACCAAATGAGAAAAAAAACTGTCTAAACCTTATATATTGTCTCTTTGGTATTTCAATTTGTTGATGAAATCATTCATCCGAGTGTGATAACAGATTAACATGATTTATTGTTGAGGGTTAGGGTAATAGTCCTATCCAACTTTTGAATCATCATCTTTCCAAACGGTTTTGATTGAGATCACAAATGAAATATTCATATTTTAAAGTTGGTTCATTTAATTCATTATGTCTGCTAACCGTGTATATTTAGTATTATCAAGTATTATCAACCTACAAGAAATCTAATTATTGTGAAGCTTAAGAAGTACCACTATGATAGTTTGTACATTCTACTGTCCTTTCCTCTACCATTCTCTATCTTTTAGATAAATGAGAAGCAATTATTGCAGAATTTATCATGTCTGCATTCTCTGTTACTTATGCCTGAAAATCAAGAACCACTATAATTCCTATAACACAAAGTAAGAGCATAAAAGACTAGGTCTCTGCAAAACACGGCGACAATCCTAGTCACTCATGGATATATATTAGCTGATAAAATGAGATGTCATAAAGACAAGCTCAACTGATCGTAAATATATACGGATAATGAGAGAGGGATTTTTTGGATGTTATAGTAATTTAATAGTTGAATCCATGAATCAATCGAAGCTAGACCATAGTGGTGCAACGGCATGGATTGGCTGAAGTTAGACATTAACACCGTTGGATGCTGGCCCGCTCAGTGGTCTAGCAATTAAACACTCTCGCACGAGACTGATAGGTCCTGGATTTGAATCTCACGAGGCAGGATTGTGAATGCGTACTGCTGAGAAGTCCCATACTAGAACAAAATGGCCGTCCGTTGCTTCCAGATTTTTCATGGTGGTCTAGCTTCAATTAACTATTAAATATACCGATACGTACAAATAGCTATGGATCAATGTTTAAAATCGTTACACATATAATTCTTGAATATTCACAAGTTAGACACTTATACAAAGAGGGACTCTAATGAAATATTGTATGTAATGGGTTAAGAATTCTTTACAGTATTTAGAATAAAGGGGACTATCATTATTACTTATTCTGTTTTCTGCTTAGATGAATTGAATGAAGAATACAATCATCGTTTCGCTATGACCAATTAAATTCATCGAATGAATAGTTTACTTATTGTCTGATTAATGCATTACTTTAAATGATTGACAATGATCTAATGGAAGCGTCACTTAATCTTTTTTCATGTTTAGTTGACATTCATCAATAATACACGTCTTTAATCTTTATGAAAGTGATAATCTCTGTGAAATTCAAATTCTCATCTTCTAAAGTCACATTTAGAGAAGTCATCAGTATGTTAGTTGATCAGCTACTGATATCATGTAACACTTAGATATTGACATTAGTTGACTATTAGGTAGTAACCAATGGTATTTTTTTAAGCAAAGATGGGTAGTGGCTAACATTGGAATCCAGGACGCGCGTTTCGTCCTATTTGGGACTCGTCAGTTGGATGTACCTGTATCTCAGAGTTGATGTTCATTTCGGGACTCCAACCCAGTCTCGTTCGCTTTAAACACCATCACGTTATCCACTTAGCTACTGAGTCCTGATAGCCATCTGCTTGTGCAATGGGGTGAAGTTTAAATTCACTTGGTATTGTTTTATTTGTATCCTCCCATTATTATTTAGGACTGCAACTGATCAGTCACTTGTTGGTATATGTGCATCCTGTGCAGATTGCCTTGATATTGCCTTAAGTCACAAACATTATAAGCAATGATGGAGTGGACATCAACTCCAGTACACAGGTAAGTTCAACTGAAGAGTCCCAAATAGGACGAAACGCACGTCCTTGAATCAACTACTATCCACCATTCACCTCTTCTCATAGTGTTTGTGACTTAATAGTAATATTGCAACAATTCGTGTACGATCCTAATATAGTAAAAGAGACTGATCCATTGCAGTCCTAAGCATCAACGGAAAGATTCAAACAGCCAATATGTATGCATCTTGAAGATAATCAATTAAATAAATTATGATCTTTCTAGATCACGAAAGCTTCATAACTAAACTTTGTAGCTTAGAGAACATGGAAATCCACAAGCTTGATTCATTGATAATCCTGCGCTACAAATAGTCTAAGTTATCAAAATGATCAATCACTAGACTTTGATCAACACTAAAAGAATTCAATAAATATAACGTCGATTACTACAAAATAATTAAGCAATATAATTGAAAGGCAGATCTTCATTGCTAATCTTGAGATGATGAAGAATATTTATAGCTCAAGTGGAGTTTATGCCGATGATGTCGTTCAGAAGAACAATGAAAGCTCCACGATCAATTCATCCAGTTCAATGAACAAAACTCCATTAAAATCATTATGAATCAGCATATATTGCTCAACTTACTTTTGAATGATCTTCATTATTAAAAATCATTTCGTTTAACTCTTCATTTTTTTCTCTTAAAAGAGAATTTCTGTGAAATTAATTGAAGAAGAATGAAAGATGAATCAATATGCTGAATGAATTCATGACATGATCGAATCAAGTACCTTTAATCTTCAACTAACAACACATTATATAATAAGCTATTGAGCCCCCCCCCCCAAATAATAACTAAATTGTTCATTGAGTACGAAGGTATTTGCAAGAGTTTATAACACCTTGCTGTTAATATTCAGGATTGAGGTCGATCATTTTCTTATGCTATATGTGTATCTTAAGTGGATTGCCTTAATATAGAGATACATCACAACTTTCTAAGTATATTTAGTATGTAACTAGTAGAGAAATCCAGGACATGTGCTTCATAATATTTCGAACTTTTCAAGTGAATTTATCATCAGTTGAGATGGTCGGGACATGTGTTAGGTATGCCCAACCATCTACTGCCCCAACGAGTGGTATTTTATGATGTAGGAGTAAGTTGGATAAAATCTAGGAGCGGCCAGAACAAAACATGGTACAAATCCATGAAGTCACTGACAAGTGGACTAAGCCATGTTGGTAGATGTAGACTACGTGGTTGGGGACCGCGAAACGATAGCAACCGATGATTAGAGACTTTGAATAACATGGCTCAAAATCGTTTGCAATAGCGCAGTTGCCTCCACTCTTTATGTTCTTTCGAATTCCAATCTTCTGGACTCTTCATGTCCCTTTCTTTTTTCTCTTTCCAAATTTATTTCACTGGATTATACTCCTTGAATAATATCTTCAAACTCTAATGTTTCCGATTACTGCTTATAATTTTACCTACCTCTACCACGCTGGGATTTGAATTGACAAATGTATCTCTGTGCTAATGTGGTATGACAACTTGAACTGATGTACGTACGTACGAAGTTCTACGTTGTTGCTAACTGAATGACTGACCGAAGTGAATTTATCTGCATCGTAGTGTTAGTGTTTACTAAATGGAGATCAAATCAAGTAATTTTTTCTTTCAATACTCAACATGTTATCCATTGAGTTATTTAGTCCAAACAGTTAGTAATTTTTTAATGGATATGAAATCATTTCTACCGGAGTTTGTAATCTCCTGTAGTTGATAGTCAAGATTTTAATCGATCTTTTACTTGCCACCCCCCCAAAAAAGTAACCTTGGTCTTGTTTGGTTACCTTAATTACATAACTTTCTTAAAAATATACATGTGGTTGTCGAACTCATGATGCTCTTCAGAATTCGATCACTAACATTATGTATAACAAATAATTGAGAGAACTACAAGACTTCAAATTAGCGGCTGAGCGTTCAAGGCATTTTACGTTTAACTACTGAGTCGTATAATTTAATACTTTCACAATTGATTGATCACTGGGTGGCGATCAGTGCAGATCGGATGCTGTCGATCATGTTGCAATGTGGCCACCGGTCTAGGTGACTCGACGTTGAGGGCACTATATATTGGGGTTAGATGGTGGTTGGAGGCAGTCGATAGGAAACCCTGAACCTGTAATCTTGAGGGAACTGGTGCTCCCTGGCGGATTCGATCTCGTGTCACCCAGCTTCACAGTCAGAGACGTTACCACTGAGCTATCCGAGCCACGACCGACCTCTTGTAGGACTGAGATGTAATCACAATTGATTGATCACTGGGTGGCGATCAATGTCTTCGTGAGTTATGGTTTTGCTGGTTATACATCTCGCCCTGATACGGACGAGAATCGGGAGAGTCAGTTCTCTCTCCCGAAATGCTCTCATATGGAACAATATAAGAAATCATCCATTAGTTCACAATTTATTTTACAGTATACATATAGTAGAAATGTATTTTAATCATTGATGGTAGATATTTATGATAAAATAAAGAAGAGAAAAAAATATTCACTTTGAAAAATATGGTGGTGGTTGAGAGGTTTGTGAAGACCTAGACATCTGAGTGGAAGGATGGAATAAAATCGACAGCTTGCATGAAATTAAATGATTTGAACTTTGAAGATAACCTAACCCATCTATCGCATATACACCAACACAATCAATCAGATTCGGTGGAGGAACTCTGGAACAGGTGGAATCTTTCACGTATCTGGGAATCATCATTGATGAACAAGAAGGATCGGATGCAGACGTAAAGGCGAGGATTGGCAAAGCACTCCTACAATTCAAGAACATATGGAACTCAAAACAACTGTCTGTCAACTAATATCAAAGTCACAATCTTCAATACGAACGTCAAGATAGCCTGTTCTCTTGTACGGAGCTGAAACGTGGAGAACTATCACAACCATCATCAAGAAAATACAAGTATTTATAAATATTTGTCTACGCAAGATACTCAATGTGAGTTTGCCGAATACCATCAGCAACAGCCTTCTATGGGAGAGAACAAACCAGCTTCTAACTCAAGAAGAAATTAGGAAAAGATGCTGGAGTTCGATAGGACATACATTATGGAAATCATCAAACTGTGTCACGAGGCAAGCACTAACTTGTAATCCTGAAGGGAAGCCAGAAAAGAGGAAGGCCAAAGAGCACACTACGTCGAAAATTGGAAGCAGACATGTAAACGATGAATAGCAACTTCAAAGGATTGCCGACGACAAAGTTAGATGATAGATGCTGATGTTCGACCTATACTCCTCCACGACGAGGGGTAACAGGCGAAAGTAAGTAACTAAGTAAATTTGAAATAATAATAATAATAATAAACATTTTCATATTCTTACTCATTTAAAACTTGACATAATAATTGTTCAATTTGATTCATTGATTTTTGATCAGAATTCACATTTGATAATGAAATATCTGAATTATTGAATTGTTTTAATTTATTAAATGGTTCATTTAATTCTGTCATTTCATTACTCTTTATTTGATGAAATATCTTTAGATTCTAAGAAGGTGAAAAGAAAATCATTTAAAGGAGAATAACAAAAATTATTATTATTATTATTTTCACAGATTGAAATCATGAGTCAGTTGAAGCTAGACCACCATTGAAAACCTGGAAGCACTGGACGGTCGTTTCATCCTAGTATGGGACTCCTCAGCAGTGCGCGTAACATGATCCCGCACCCCGCGAGGTTCAAACTCAGGACCTATCGGTCTCGCACCAAGCGCTTGACCAGCTAGACCACTGAGCCGGCCGGCATCCAATGGTGTTAATGTCTAACTTAAACCAATCCACGGAGTTGCGCCACCATATACCATTGTCTTCAGTGAGCTGATATCTCACAACAGACGTGGTTGTACTCCACTGGTAACGGCTTCCCACTAGAACTCCAGGAGTGTCTCATGAAGTCAGTCACTAGTGAGCAGATGATTATTATCAGAAGGGATTTGTGGTTTGTGATATTATTATTATTATTATTAAAACTTCAATGAGTAACAAGCCACCCTAGTAGTAGTGTTAGTAGTAGTGGTGGAGGTTGTGGCAGTAGTAGCAGTAGTAGTAGTAGTTGTTGTTGTTGTTGTTGTCCGTACTTGTAAAGAATGTTGATGTTTGTAGGTTTACATTAAGGGATGATTTCAATCAGGTAGCTATTAAAAAACAACGTCATATATTATAGGACTCTTCAGCAGCCTCCATTGATGACCCGTATTGTTATCTCTTGTGACCTTATGATTTTATCACTATATATATATAACGTAATGATACCGCCATTTAGAGAATAGTGGTTTATCGATCGGACTAATGACGTATAAACCTGTACAAGTAATCTAGAGTGCTTATCAGTCCTTCTTCCTGGGTAGCCCTTTTCTGTTAAGTCCAAAGCAAATCTCAGCCTCTGAGATATGAATCATGTATTTCAAATAGACTGGGTTTATATACACCAGCCTAACAGACGACATCGTACCATAAAATAGGAAACAACATTTGTACAAGATTTAACTAAATGTGGCTGTGAATAATGGAAATGTTAATTAATAGACAAGGTATAATTCAAGAATGGTAAATGGTATAATAATAGTCTATGGGTCAACATACAGTTTATAATAAGAGGAACATGAACATGCAGATAGTTTAGTTATTTAACAATCATACAACAAAAATGTGTGTATCGTATTGATCCATAAATAGTTCTCGAAAGTTACCATTCATAATTCTCATCGGGATATAGCACTAACAAAGATTAAACTCAGGACTTTAATCATGTAGATTATGTTGTCCTACTGAACAACGTTTCGAAAGCCATCATCCAGAAGATACAGGTGTTCATTAACAATTGTCTACGCAAAATACTTCAGATCCATTGGCCGGACACTATTAGCAACAACGTACTGTGGGAGAGAACAAACCAGATCCCAGCGGAGGAAGAAATCAGGAAGAAGCGCTGGAAGTGGATAGGACACACATTGAGGAAAGCACCCAACTGCGTCACAAGACAAGCCCTCACATGGAATCTTCAAGGCGAAAGGAAAAGAGGAAGACCAAAGAACACATCACGCCGAGAAATGGAGATAGACATGAGAAAAATGAACACAAATTGGATGGAACTAGAAAAGAAGGCCCAGGACAGAGTGGGTTGGAGAATGCTGGTCAGCGGCCTATGCTCCATTGGGAGTAACAGGCGGAAGAAGTAAGTACTGAACAACGTTTACTTGAAGCATTTACCTGACAGCGTTGTCTAAGAAGACAATGAAATCTTTACAACTAGAGTATTTAACTCAAGGAATCAAACTTCAACACAATCATCCATTTGAGTAATAAATCTTCTCAACTACATCATGTCTAGGCTCATTGTCATTAACTTCCTTACAATTTATTTCTATTAACGATGATGGATAGATTTATGTAATATATATTTCATATACCTTATCAATTAATTTGTCATATTGTTTCTAACCTTAACATTTCTCATTTGGTGGTCACAATATACACGAGTAATTATTCAAAAGCATTGTTATTGTTGTTGTTGTTGTTGTTGTGCTGTTTTGTCACTTCGTGCTAATCTTTCCACATAGCAACCAACTAATTAGTAACTAAATTATTTGTGTTCTGATATTCAAATTATTTTAATGATAAAAAGCATTAAGTTTAAACAAACAACTACTTGAATGTTCACATTCTATTCACATTTTATTCGGAAAAAAAACAAAACAAAAGATGAATTATTTTAATTCTAGTACAGACCAGGCGGTTATAGTTAATTAACTGAATAAACAATAATTAGTTGGTGGAGATTTGTAGCTCAGATAGATTAGATGGTGGTTGGATGTAGTCGACAGGAAATCCTGGATCCTGGAACCCGGACCCGCCGCCCGGACAGCTCAGCTGTAACGTCTCTGACTGTGAAGCTAAGTGACACGAGATCGAATCCGTCAGGGAGAACCAGTTCCCTCAAGATCACAGGTACACTATGCTGACGAGCGCCAAGTAGCACGAAACCCAGGTCCAGGGTTTCCTATCGACTACCTTCAATCACCATCTAATCTCAATATACAGTGCCCGCAATGTCGAGTCACCTAGACTGGTGGCCACATTACAGCATGGTCGATAGCATTCGATCTGCACTAAATAAGGACTTGGCACGCATGACATTGATCACCACCAAGTGATCAATCAACTGTGAGCTCAGATGGATGAGTTTGGTGGAGTTTTATTATCTGAGTTGGATGGTTTTGATCGTGAAACTTTCATCATTCTTCTGAACAACATCATCAGTACAAACTTAATGTAGAAGTGAAGTGTTCAAATTTCTACACACATATGGTTCACAACTTGTCCTGTACACTTCGATGTTGATTCAAATCAATCCAATTTATGGATCAATCAGGAAAATTATGAACAAACATAGAACCAAGAACTAAACCAATTGGAGATACAAACAAAATGAACAAGTAAACAATGACAGGTTTAATGTTAACAAGAACTAATCAGCATCGAGATCTACAGGACAAGCTGTGAATCATATGTGTGTAGAAATTAGAACACTTCACTTCTACCTGAAGTTTGTTTACTTATTTATTTATTTTAACACATAGATATTGGTACAAGGAGGCACCAAATACATATGCGCCACACAAATCTCATTTGATATGTGTGAGGGCTGTGATACTGTCCGAGTGCCCAAACCGAAGAAGGTGGTTTTCTTAGGGGACCCCACTCGGAGCCTTTGATCTGAGGGTCTGATCCACAAGACAGTGGAGCAACGTAAGGAGATGTAGTCCCATGGTAGTCGGTGACCAACAATTGGTTCATACGCCATTTGTTCCTTCAAGATACTGGAGCCCATGTGCACCATTAGTTTGGAATCAGGGTTTTCCAACTCCCCTAGGTGAACTCTCCATGTTCACCAACCGGGTTAAAGCGCCAGACATTCGCTTTTCGTCCCCTAAATTTCGTAAACAACACCCGTGGCGCGAGAAGGCAGTGAGTAGGGCTTCCCTGTCGGAGGCTATATACGCATTTCGAGAGGGAGAGCGGACTCTCTTCACTCTCGGCCGTACCAGGGCATTTGGGGGCCCTGATGCTTGTACTGATGATGTTATTCAGAAGAACGATGAAAGCTCCACGACCGAACCATCCAACTCAGAGAACAAGACTCTATCAAAATTCAAATATTATTTGAAAGTAAAGACCATTAGAATTTAAATTTATTTTATTTTACTAAAAAATATGAAGATTGTGAATTAAATTTGGCTGATTGAAATTATGATTACTTAGTACTACATAGAGAGTGTTGAGTTAGAGATAATTAGCCTTATGGTAATTGTATTGGTTATTCAGGTAATATTAGATAGTTTAAGTTTAGATTCTAATGAGAGTATCAGTTCAATCCCCCCACACATAAGTTTAGATATTACCCTTGAAGAGGATCAATTAGTATGAAACTTAGATTCATGGTTTATTTAAAAGAAAATGAGTAGAAGTTGAAGTTGGTGCTTTTTTGATCTGTTCTCAATTGTTCCCCACGGCAGTTTTCTTTTCATCCACTAGATCTTATAAGGCTTAGTACCTGTTGTTGAAAGTTATCTTAGATTCATTGAGTTTGTTAGTATTTCATAGGAAAGCTGTATTGAATCTTTGTACTGTTGTTTACCCCAGCTGTCTAGTGTTTCTTTAACTTCAGCTTCATTTTTTCAACCACCAGGTTGTGTTTCAAAGTTATGAATAGACCAAAGTAGCATAAATAAGTTGATTCTTCATCTTACCCCTTCAATCTTAAATTTTATTATGAATGCATACTATGTACTCTTCGATTAGATTTATTCATTCTGAATTATTATAACAGATAACTAGAATTCATTCTTTACTTTCATCTTATGATTTATTATGATGTAAACATGGAAGTAGGTTCACTGTCAATCTGTACCCATCTTGAATAAGTACTGTGCCACAGTGCCAAATAGAAGGAAACGCGCCTCCTGTATTCCACTGCTAACCACTACCCATGTTTGCTTCGAACGCTTGTGAATTAATGTGATATCGAGGTAATACGCACAGTACGCACATATGCCAATAACAAACTGATCAACTGCAGTCCGAAACATCAATGGGAAGATTCAAGTGAACAATACCAAGTGAATTTCAACTTCACCCGATTGCACAAGCAATTGGCTGTGAGAACTCAGTAGCTAAGTGTTATAACGCGATGAAGTTTGAAGCGAACAGTACTGGATTGGAGTGCCAGACAGTGAACACCAACCCTAAGATGGAGATACATCCAGCTAAAACAGTACCAAATAGGACGAAACACATGTCCTGAATTCCACGGCTAGCCGCCATCCATCATTGCCTTTCATGTTTGTGAATTAAGGCAATATCGAGGCAATCCTCACAGGATACACATATGCCAATAAGAGACTGATAAATTGAAGTCCTAAATATCAATGGGGAAATTCAAGTAAATAGAA